ACTACTGAGCTTGCGCGTCTGGAGCCTGTGCTCCGTAACAAGAGAGGCCACGATAGTGAGAGGCCCGCGCACCGCGATGAAGAGTGGCCGCTGCTTGCCACAGCTAGAGAAAGCCCTTGCACAGAAACGAAGACGCAACACAGCAAAAATAAATAAATTAATTAATAAACTCCTACCCCCAACATCTTCTTAAAAAAAAAAAAAAAAAGATCCAGATAAAGAAAGATGAAAAGAATACTGTGAAGTTTCCAAGAGAAAAACTCTGAAGATGGAGCTACGAAACAAAAGACAGAGACTGTAACATCAGAGGAAGAAGTAAAACTGGTGTAAATTTACAGGAATCTGATAGCTTGGCCATTTCAACAAGGGTTATGCACGTGCTGACAAACCAGTGAAGAGTTTGCAAGAGAAAAGTGAAATCTAGAATGAAGACAAGATACTTTTAAGACCCAGGAAAATAATCAAAAATTAATTTTGATATGGTAAAATCTTTGGTCAATACAGAAGAGAAAATTCACACAAACCAAAATAAAACAGGAGCAAATCTGCAAGATTCTAATCCTTTGTCTGATGAAACAAATGTAGCCAACAAAGAGGCAGCAATAAGACAAAGAGGTAAATAAAGATTTATTGTGTTTGAAATCTGGAAAAATTAGTCTTTGCTAAAAAGATGCAAAGATTTGATCTCTGCCCCAGTGTGACAGAGAAAATTCTGTAGATGAGAACAAAGAGATATGTTTACAGTCATTTAGTGGATAAAAAGGAAAAATTACCTCATTCAAAACTGGAAAACTACAGAAGTCACATGCGAATAGAACACAAAATAAACACTTTGGAAAATACTGTTTTACCAAAAGAAGAAACTTTGTGCAAAAAGCCAAGGCATAACCAGAGTGATATTAAATTCCAGCAAAGATTAACCTGGAGTTCTAAACGATGAGTTTGGGAGAAAACATCTACTGAAAATCCAAAGCAGGATAAGAACAACACACAAAGAAAGAAAATAAGAACTAGAAGATATCAAGACAATGAAGGTGCTTAGCTAGGAGGGATAAAAAGTGATAATCTTTAGTTTAATGGCAAGCCTAAATATCCTCCATAGGATAATTTTTGCCATAAAATTAAAAGTGAATTCTGTAGGTAAAAGAGAATAAATAAATAAAATGAGGTTCTATATGTATTTAAGTATAATCAAAGTATTGGTTTTATTTGACATTTAATTATTTTATAGGCAAAATTTTAAAAACATAATGAAGACATCCTTTCTACCCCTATGGAAGAAAAGATGTCTTAATTTCTTGCAATTAGCTGGTTACTTGATTTAATCTTTGGTTGACAAAATACTTTCCCTTAGCCTACCACTTATTAGCCTTTTCACCAATGGATGAAAGGAGAATGAATGAAAAAATAAATTGTAAACCAGTGAGGTCAGACATAAACTTGTCAAATATTCTATTATTGATTGGTTGTCTGTAACTTACACTTTTGGAGAGATGGTTACTGCTGGGTTGTTCAAAATAAAACAACTCATTGTTTCTCTTAGTGTGGAAATCCAAATTAATTATGATTCACAAAATTTTTACAAGTCAATACAGAATATAGTATAAATCTCAACACCACCTCATGTTTATAACATATCAGTTTCAGCTCTGGATTGTTTCCTTTATTAATTCCGCTTGAGAGAAACTATATACAAAAAGTACAACATTAAGATACTTACCATATTGCTTTTTAAACTGTTGAGGCCATTTCCTTAATGTTCCCTTTGGCCTTCACAATTGAATCTTGTTTTCCTTATATAGTACACCTCATGCCCTTTGGCATAATTGCCAATGCCATTTTCCATGGCTGAAGCACACCCACATTTGCAGAATGTGGCAATTAATGGCCTCTTAAAACTATCATTATATCTCAAGAAGACATTTTCCTCTTGGTTATGATACTGAACAACACCATTACAAATTGCTTTTAAGCAACTGGTGATTATATATATATACACACACGATTTAGAAAATCAATCATGTTTTCTCTCATTCCAGATGGATTCTTAACATATCCAGGGCCATTACTTCCCTACTCATGAGAAGTCAATGAAAATAAAAATGTTTGAAATGTTTTAGTACGTGAATTAGTTTGATAACTGAAAACCAGGAGCGAAAGTTCGTTAGTACTGGAGAACCTGGCATTTCCAGGTGGCTTTGTTTAAGATATGGTATGTAGCAGCCCTGCAAAAGATATCAGTCACAGACTATAAATCTATATAGATATGTCTGTATCCATATAGCTATATCTGCATTCTATACTATATATAGAATATTAAAAATAAGTAAAATCAGCATCTCATCATGATTTATTTTCAGGTGAAAGAATAAAACTATTATCTACATTTCTATTTTCTACTAGTTCTATGTAATAAATAACTTCCAGGTGAAATCTATAAAACTGACCACCAAGATATTGCCGTTAGTGCTTTAAAAATGTTTCTATCCAGGTATTCTAGTGTTGTGAACACATGGGTTCTGTGTGTATTAATATGGTATGTTACATATGTGTGTGTATTGCCCTGAGATATGTTAATTTATCACTAATAAAAATAGCTTTTCAGGATTCCGCCCCCCCCCGACAAAATTATGCCTGAACAGAATCATGCTTGGTAAATCAATGAATTACAAGAAAAAAACCAAAGTAAACTCATTTTTTATTGAACTGGGGGATGTGAATAAAAGCTTGTGTGATGTGTAGGAAAAAAACAAGTGTAAAACTTGTTGTAACTTTAAAATTTAGTAGAATTTCATTGCATGATTGGTGTCACATTATAGACATTCTGAATTTTAGGGAGAGAAGTGTTCCATAGCTGGTACAAGGAAAACATCTTGGTTCATATTTTAAGTGTATTTTCACAAGATTTTGTTGTACACTTCTAGATGTTGGTAGTAACAACATAGAGGATATACTTTATATACTGGTACTTGGATATTCAGTTAGATGTTTCAGATATGGGTGAGTTTTTAAAAGTGTCTAAAACAGTGTACCCTCAAAGAATAAATCATTTAAAGGAATAAGGCAACTTTCCGGTTTGTCTGAACAGTGGGTGGTACTGACAGCCACATGTAATTAAAATGTAGTGTTTGAGTAACATTAACATTTGTGATTATTCAATATAATGTGATTTCATTAAATCCTGTACCATTCTCAAAAAAGTTGATATAGTCTCAACTGCTGATGCTTTCGCCAATTCACAGCTTAAAATTGCTTTTAAATGATAAAGACACACATTTCATATTTTAATACATTACCATATAGTCACACATCTAATACAATTTGCACAGAGAAAGATTTTAATGTTTCCTGTTTTAATACACTTCAAATGATTCTCTTTAATGACAGGGTCATTAGCTTTTAGAAGTTTAGAGTAAACCATTCTCTTCTCTTACAATTCAGACATCTTAAGATTTCTTAGAACTGTCAGACTTTTTCAATCAGCTTTCAAAAGTTTAAAGTAATCAAATCATTTTCTTCTAATACAATTCAGATATTTTAAGATTTCTCAGGATTGTCAGAACTTTTCAATCGTAAGAACAACTTGTCTAGATACACGTGTGAGGTCCACTGTGTAATTTTTCTCAGTGTAATACTCATCCTTCCCCAAGAGAAACCTTTTGTATTTGTTTTCCTTCTTTTTCTTTCTTGATAATCACAAACTGGAATAATTATATGATATACAATGTGTTTACTGTACACAGACGATATGCATATGTACATTATACATAATGCATTTTAATATATTACTTTATATTACCATTTGCTTAAAGGACATTTCACAGAATGGTAGAACTGATACAACGACATGTTTTTTTCTTTAGATAGGTTGAATCCTTCTGTAGTACCTTACTGCACAATTATGGCTTTAAACAAAAGTCACAAGTCACAACAAATTATGCTTTGTATAATGCTGTGAAGTGTATTCCAAATGGAAAATGGAGGGAAAAGTGCGTGACATCATGCTTCGTGGTATGGCATACATATATCAATGCTTTTTACATATAACTATGACCTTGACTACATACATAATGTATGGTTATTATAAAAAGTTATATATTATGCCACAGTACTAAAAATAAAATATATTCTTCTCAAATAGTGAAAATAAGGTATGCTTCATGTTTTTAATCACATATGTTTTCTCGTTTGACCATGCCTCTTCTTTTTCCCATTGTAAATGAAATAATGTCCAACATTTTATTAAACAGTAATGATAGAGTGTAGACAATTTCTGGGCCATTAAGGCCTAAAAAAGGTGCTAAGATGATTATCTTGTCATTAACTGTGGAGATACCCTCCGAATGCGTTTATTTAATACATGGTAAAAATATAAAAATAAAGGACAAATAAATATAAATATCTTCTCAGTTATTGAAAAATCAAAAGTTCAACTGTACCTTATTACGAGTATGGTCCTGGATATGCGTAATTGCTGCATAAGTACGGCAACTAACCGGATATCACGGCTCTCCCCCCACCAATCTGTGAACTGTGGCTATGCTTGGCCAGGAAGACACGGAAGGGTTTTCTTGGGTTCTCCGCAAGGGAGGGATTCGACCATACCCAGGTGCTGCTCTCCCAGACCCGCGCGCATCAGTCTCCAGTCATGGCTCACCTCCTCGCCCTCCGCCCATCCTGGGAGACCTTGACCTGTCCAGGCGAGAGGGAAAGGAGTGGAACTGCGTCCCTCTCGCTTCATCCCTAAAGGTTACTGCCCTTCCCCCGAAGCCCATATGTTCTCTGATTCGGGAAGCAGGCACTTACAAGTGAACTCAAGCCGAGGCGAGGCTTAGGGCGGGGACGTCCTCCAAAGTTGCGCTCTGGCCTCGTCTGCTGCTATCGCCCCCGCCGCGCTTGCCTAACGTTTCCTTGAACCGAATGAAACGTAGGGAAACTTAACATCCCGGGGGAGGCGGGGGTGGGGATGGCCCCAACCCAGTCTCCGGGCGACAGGCGGGGTCTGAGACAACTGGCGGCGGCGGCCGCCGCGGCCACCCCGGCCTTGCGTCCCACCCGTAGCCCCCGGCCTGGTTCTGTCCGCGTGGTCCTCGCGAGGCCCCGGGCGCTCAGATGAGCGGGAAGCGGCCCTCGCCGCCGCCGTCGGACTGCCCGGCGCCTCCACCTCGCGGGCGGCCGAGCACCGACACGGGCAACACGACCTCCCCGGGACTGAACTGCTGCAGCCGCATGGACTCCTCGTAGGTTGGCAGGTACTTGACCTCCTCGTAGCTGGGCAGCTGCAGGAAGACCGGCGAGACTACGCGCAGCTCGTGCTCCGAGGCGCAGGAAGGGGCCGAGCGCCCGCCGCCTGCCCGGCCCCGGCCACCGCCTCCACTGTCCAGCAGCGAGTCTTGAGAGCCGGCGGCCGCCTCGTCCCGCAGCAGCGCGGGCGAGTCGTCGTCGCCGTCGTCGGGCGGCCCCGCGGCCCCCGGCTGCCCGGCGCCCCCCGGTGGCCCCGGCCGCGCCTGCCCGCGCGGGTACCTGCGTGGGCTGGGGCAGATGATGCGCTGCAAGAAGTAGCCGATGGCGAAGAGCACCAGCAGGATGAGCAGCCCGGAGAGCTTGCGGACGAACCAGCCCACGTTGTCGAGGAAAGCGTGCAGCGGCAGCTTGCAGCAGCGCACCGCGGTGGCGTTGGCCGCGTCGCAGCAGCGCTCCCGCTCGCCGCACGCCAGCTCCGCGCAGCCTCCGCCGCCCCGCGAGGGCGCCACCAGCGCCAGCGCCAGCAGTAGCAGCAGCGGCAGCAGCGGTGGCGGCGCCGGCGCCACCGACAGGCCCTCGGCCGTGACCCCGGGTCCCCACATGGCCCGCGCGTACCGTTGCTAAGGTCCGGGGGCGCGGGGGTATCCGTCTGTCCGCGTGTCCGTCAGTCCCTCCCCGGGCGCTCCGCTCGGGTCCCGCGCGCCGCCTGCCTTGCCTCTGCTACCTGCGGCCGGAGCAGTCCTCACTTGGCCACGCTTGGGCGGAAGGAGGAGCCCGAGGCGCGCCGAGGCTGCGGGAGGCGGCCGCTTCCCGCGCCTGAACAGCCTCCTGAGCTTCTGACCTTAACCCCGCGCGCCCAGCCGCCCAGGCCGGGCGCAGGGCGTCCGGAACCGCCCAAGATGGCAGGGGCAGCCTGCGTGGGACTGCCGTGGGCATCTTGGCCCCGGCCGGCCGCGCTCTTCCAAGCCCCCCTTGGCACCCTCCGGGGCTGGAAGGGTTAACGCTCTGCGCTAAGGCTGGGAGCCCCCTGATCTTGATTAAGTCGACCGTCTCGCTCTTCCCCGCCACTCGGGCGGGGGCTCTTGCTCGCGTAGGTGTTTCAGTTTTAAGTGATTGGATTTCCCCAGGAATGTTATTTAAATTGACTTGCGACTGGGATTCGCTTACCATCCTTCTTGTGATCTTTCTGATTAAAAATGGATGATGGCCATTAATGGCTAGCGCAGCCCCGCAGCAGTCCCAGAGCTTGGGGGGGTTGGAGACCGCCGGGTGGTTCTGCTTTCAGGCAGATCCAGGGGGCTGAAATCCGGTACCCACAGGAGACCTCCAGAACAGATAGAGAATTCTCCGGAGAGGCTAAGGTCACAACACCACGGAAGTATTCCCAGAGGGGCAGGGAGGACTCCCCCAAAGTGACCCGAGTTGACGAAGGAGAGAAGGTGTGCATATTTCCCCAGGGGCTCATCCGACAAGACCCCACTGAGCTCAAGGGACAGCAGGGATTTGGGTTTGGGGTAGAAGGAGGCCTCTTCTCCAGCATAAGTAACACATCTGTGAAGTGTCAAAGGGGAGTGTAAGTGGTTGGCAACGTTCCTGAGCATTGATCTGCGTCTAAAGGGTCTTTTTCAAGGTTACTCTTGGTTGCAAAGTTTGCCTTAAAGGGAATCTGTGCTCCCATTTAGCACAGGGAGGCAAGTAGTCACCGCTCTGTGGTTAAGCTCCTTGGCACACATGGGAGGGATGGCAGTTACGTGGTCCCTGACACAGGCGCATCTGCTGGGTGGTGGCCTTAGAGCACCAGGAACCTTTGCTTTTATTAAGGCAGACTGAAACAGTCATCTTTGTAGGATTAGGATTTATTAATTCCCTCACCCCTTAAACGCTTGACCAAATGGGAAATTCCATAGTCACAGAGAGAAAAAAGTAAAAGCAAAGGAATGATACAGAGACACACAAGGCTCAACGGTAGGTCAGGTTAAAGGCAAAGATTTCTCTCAGAGGAAGTCACACTGTATTTCCCTAATAGCCTTATGGAACAAGGTTAGGGGTGCTGGTTTGATTTAGACAGGTCATTGCCCCGCCTGAATGAAAACATTTGAAATATTTCTGCTGCTGGGAGCTCCTGACTTTGCCTCACACTCCAAAATAATCCTTTCTCCTCCTGGAGAATCTCCAAAGTGTCACTCAGACAAAACTACTTCACGTGAAGCTTAGTTGAGCACAGGTCCTTCTTTCTAAGCTCTCCTAAAGCCACAATATTTCTCTGTGCCATCATCTGTTTCTCTGTAGGGAGGCCTAAAAGCTATTTTGTAAAGACTGACTGACAAGGGGTTTCAAACTGTAGTAAGATAACAGGGTGGAAATGATGCATTTTAAAACAATGAAAATTGTATTATTCTTTCATTCACCCATTCTTTTGCCAAATTTGCATTGAACATTTTCTATATTCAAGGAACTCTGCTAGGTGCTCAGCATTATGGAGAAATAAATGATTCCTCCCGAGCATGGGATAAACCCAGGTCTGCAGTCCTAGCCACTGCTAAATGGAGTACGGTAAAGGAGAGATTCCACAGAGGGAAAGAAATGACAGTTTCCTCTGTGATCATGGCTTGTTCTTACTTTACCAAAGGAGGAATAAAATTAATGGGTTTCAAACAGTCTCAAAGATGAAAGCAGTTCACAGATTGAGATGGACTTTGAGTATGAAATTGAAAAAAATGTGAAGACCTCTTTGGGTTTTTATTGTCTGATCTTTTAGGATTTCTGCTAGTCATAGTAGGAGCAATGGCGAAAGTAAAGGGGAAGTTGTACAGTTGATGATGCATAAGTGAAAGTGTCCTGCTTATTGCTATTTTGAAGTTACTTAACAAACAGCATTTAATTTGTTTAATTTCTGTTTGCCTTTAAGAGGGTTAGAATTTGTTTGCAGACCATTAGGACACAGTAGAAAAACAGTATAGATCTTATATAAAATAAAACATTGGCAGAGTTATTTATATGAAAACAAAGAAAAGGATGAGGTCTGCAAAATGAGTATGGAATGGATTTTTATTTGATTTTTTTTCTTTCCAAATTGGTCGTCCCAAAGCATCATCCATTAAAGACCCTCTACAGAAACTGGCGTCTCTTTGTTTCTTCTCTGATCTCTCAGTCTCACTTAATTCATTTTTATTTGCAATGTAATTTATTGTGTACAACCTTTTGGAGGAAAGAAAAGAAACTCTATAGCCTTAAAAGCCCCAGAAAAGACATGATATTCACTACTCAGCGTCCTTATTCTTTATATTTGTTTAACACAAAAATAAATGTGTTAGCTCTCAGGAAGTCATAAATTCAAGCCACTTAGTGAGGAAGATGGTATTTAATGCTATGTTCCATAGAATAATTGAAAGATATAGGAAGATCACAATGTAAAAATTTAAAAAAAACCTTATTTTGTTGAAAATTGGCACTAAATTGTGTGTAAATAAGTGTGTGCAAGAGTAAAAAAACAGATGGAAGGGGGATGGGGACTGACTTTTATCCAAAAAGCATGGTCGCTTGGAGCACAACTTGATAAAAATTAAGAACAATTAATTGCTTTATCTTGCTGTGGTGCTTGAAGAATTTTTTTTTTTTTTTTTCGGAACGCGGGCCTCTCACTGTTGTGGCCTCTCCCGTTGTGGAGCACAGGCTCCGGACGCGCAGGCTCAGCGGCCATGGCTCACGGGCCCAGCCACTCTGCGGCATGCGGGATCTTCCCGGACTGGGGCACGAACCTGTGTCCCCAGCATCGGCAGGCAGACTCTCAACCACTGCGCCACCAGGGAAGCCCTGAAGAATATTTTTTGAAAAATGTATCTTCCTTGTTATTTACATTCATGTGAATGAATGCCTAATGAGCTATACTTTTCAACATTTTAGAACAGAAGAAAGTAAACAGAACACAACCAAACTGGCTGCTGTTTCACCTGTGCTTCTGGAAGCTGTCCTGATAGCTTGAGAAAGTGTGGGTGGCCCCATCATGCAACTTTCTGTTCTGTCACATGGTGCCTGGTACAGAAGGGAGTTTCTCTCTGATGTCTGCTGACTGGGACTTCGTGCTTTCAAACCTGGGAAGCAATAGCTCTGCCCTGTTCTCGTCCCTCCTTAAGGTCTAAACGTGGGCAGTTAGGACCTTGTAAACCATCCGGTCTCTAAGAACCCCCTTTTCGGGTGTGCAGCATTTTTCCTTCCTACTAACTTGCCTGCTCATTTTACGGTCTCCCTCAACTTGCAGTATGGTCTCCCTGTGCAACAGTAAATTGAGGGTTTTATGATAAATAGTGTATATTTGCATAAATGGGCCTACCTAGAAATGATTTGTGATCTGAAATATTCTGCTTTGAAGTTCTCTTCAAATCATATTTCTTTCATCACTCATTTAGTAAATATTTATTGAGGGCCCATTCTGAACTGGGCATTCTGCTCTGTTCTGGTGACACTATGAAATCAAAGGGTTCCCTGTTTTCAGGGGGCTTGCTGGGGGGAGGGGAGAGAGAAAAACAGACTGCTAATCAGTCAAATTAATGAATCACTAATTCCAGGCGAAGATCAATGATTATAAAGGAGAAATGCAGGGGCTCTGAGTTTTTACGCTGGATGGGGTCCAGACTGGGGTGGGGGTGTCAGCCGGAAAGGTCTCCCTAAGAAAGACCTCCTTAGGAAAGGACAAGGCTAAGAGAAACGATGTGCTCCAGGCAGAGGAAACTTCATGGGGACCAGTTCCCCAGCTGGGAGGACGCTTCACACGTCATCTCTTATGCTTGGGACAAAGCCTGTGTAATTTCTACCTCCACAGTTGAGACCCTCTCATAAGAAGAGTCAAGCCATGCCCTCACTGTTGTTCAGTTGTAAGCCAAATCCGGTTCCCTGCAGGGTCTGTAACCGGTTGTGTGAATACAGTTACCTCTGCAGTCCTGCTCAGTCTTTTGCTGGAGACCAGGAAAGTTCCAGCACTCTTCTCTGTTTTCTCCACCTCTACTCGCCAGACTTGGAGTGCAGTCTGGCTTTCCTTTCAACTCTATGGGTTGGCAGCTTGCTGACAAAAGGCTTTCTTGAAGCCAAATGCTTGAAATAGGAGAAAAGTCAAAGTGAGATGGTTTGTACCTTTTGTTCAATTTAGGCACAAAAGAAAACAGAAATCTTTCTCCCATGCTTGAAGTTAGAAACAAAAGATTGAGTATATTCAGGCTCTTAGGAAATAATAACATCTATGTTTGTATTTGGCCTTTCAGCTTTCGGAGTACTTGCCCATGCATTGTTTTGTTTTCTCCTTCCTACATTCCTGTGAAATGGGTTGAAGTTATTCTTATCCCTTTTTCCAGGTGAAGAGAGGTTAAAAACATCCCAATCACAGAGTAAGTTGGTGGCTGCGCTAAAGGTGGGATCCAAGGCTTGTGAATCCAAGTCTGGTTAAAAAGGGTGGGAAGGGCTTCCCTGGTGGCTCAGTGGTTGAGAGTCTGCCTGCCGATGCAGGGGACACGGGTTCGTGCCCCGGTCCGGGAAGATCCCATGCCGCGGAGCAGCTAGGCCTGTGAGCCATGGCCGCTGAGCCTGCACGTCTGGAGCCTGTGCTCCACAATGGGAGAGGCCACAACAGTGAGAGGCCCGCATACCGCAAAAAAAAAAAAAGGGTGGGAAGACTCTCACTGACTTGGTCCGGGCCAAAATGACCCCTGGGGTGAGGCACTTGTGTTCCCTCTGACAACTTCGGGT